TATAATTGAACTTAGCTGAATAAAATGGAAAGGATATTTTTCCCTTTACGGCAAGAGTGCGCATATGAAGTGGCTATGTTGAGCGTAAAAGTGATAATTTGAAACGGGTCCTATATGCTAGATTTAGAGTTATTTGGCAATTTTAGTTGTGAATGATACAAACCTTAGAATGTCTTAGAAATCAAAACATATATGGGCTCCATGGTGCGACTATAGACTATTGATGATTTGAGAAAGTGGTAGAAAAAGTACCCAATTGTCATACTTGAGTAAAAGTAAAGATACCTTAATAGAAAATGACTCAAGTAAAAGTGAAAGTCACCCAGTAAAATACTACTTCAGTAAAAGTATTTGGTTTTAAATATACTTAAGTATCAAAAGTAAATGTAATTGCTCAAATATACTAAAGTATCAAAAGTAAAAGTGCGAATAATTTCAGCAAACCAGACGGCACAATTTTCTTGTTTTTTAAATGTATGGATAGCCACGGACACACTCCAACACTGATGTAATTTACAAACAAAGCATTTGTGTTTAGTGAGTCCGCCAGATCAGAGGCATTAGGGATGACCAGGAATGTTCTTTTGATAAGTGTATGAATTGGACCATTTTCTGTCCTGCTATGCATTTAAAACGTAACGAGTACTTTTGGGTGTCAGGGAAAATGTGTGGAGTAAAAAGTACATTATTTTCTTCAGGAATGTAGTAAAGTAAAAGTTGTCAAATATAAATAGTGAAGTACAGATACCACAAAAAACTACTTAAGTAGTACTTTAAAGTATTTTTACTTAAGTACTTTACACCACTGGAAAGTAGCAAAAAAAGCTTGCACTCTGTTCCTTGCCTCAGGCTGCACCGCTGTCCACTCATCAAGTTATCATATTTTCACCCATCAGACTATTCTCAATTTAATCTTGTCTTTTGATTTAGAATGGCCCATTATCAAATGAGCAGGAGCAGGGGAAAAAATACATGTCATCTGTAGGCACTCGAATAGCGGATGGAGGCCGCGCGCTTTCTCACCGGTCCGTTTTGTAGGCTACTTCGGTTTTATAGCAGAGCATGTGCTTAATATGAGCAGCTGAGAAATAAATATAAGAACACTGATTTCACTCCACGCATCAACCACTGTTTGAGAAGCATGCTCTCGCTGCCCTACAGGTGATATTCTGTCCAAACTCTGTATGCCATGGGCTCCAACCCTGTCCCTCCAGCTACCCAGTACTCTGTATGCCATGGGCTCTCCAACCCTGTCCCTCCAGCTACCCAGTACTCTGTATGCCATGGGCTCTCCAACCCTGTTCCTGCAGCTACCCAGTGCTTAATTTGGAAAATGAAGTGAAATCTGTTCGGGAACATAGTAACATTTTTTCGCAACGAAACATATTTCACTGAAATGTTGACAGCCCATCTGCCCGCTCGAGAAAGGAATAAAGGAGAGAGAGGAGTTGGAAACACATGGTGGTGAGATATTCTGTATACCTAAAGGTAATGTGTAACCTCAGTGTCGATTTTAGCATGTAAGTCTTGGTGGGGCAAAAAAAAAAAAAAATGCATGCCAGCAAAGCCACTACACAACACAACACTAAACAATACATTAATTGCACTATAACGGTGACAAACGGTGCCCACAAACTGTCAGAGCCTACATAAAGCTATCCCAACAGCAGAGTCCCAACAGCAGTGCCAACACCTTATCACTGCTACACCTGGCTATCAGCGGAGCCTTGTCTGGCTGAGAAACATTTCATTCAACCACATTTACTGCCTTTAAAAACTATGGCATAAGGGGACGAAACGTATAAGAGGCAATCCGTAATTTCAATTGACATTAATGAGCGAGCTAGGAAGGATGTAGTCAATATAACTATTTGTTCAGCACTTTTGAAATGTACAGCAACAGAATTCAGAACATGGGCCATTCTTACAGTGTTCTCCCTGTACACCAAGTCAGAACCGTAGGATAAATAAAGGGGGCATATAAGCAGACAATGAAAGCTCTGACAATATTTGATGATTACATTTCTCTAAAACAGGCTATAGGCTACGTGTGCACCACCAAGTCAGAACAGTAGGCTAAGTTATGAGGGGAAAATTGACCAAATTATTAGGATGAGGCACATGGGCTATTAACAGCTTACTACACAACATACACATAGTATTACTTTCTTAGCTACAGTATACATATCTCCCTGGCATATTACATAATTTATGCAGCAGCATACAAGACACTTTTGGACTCACCTTGTTGTGCTGTGCTCACTTGAACAGGACGGTGTCGCGGCGGTCCTTCGTGGGCAAATTTTGTCATCAAACTTTCATCAAAGTTTGGCATTCTCTGGATTTATGGTTCTTTCAAGACAACTGGGAACTCTGAAAAAACAAGGTGAATCATGATGACGTCAGTGTTCTTCAGGTCGTAGCTCTAGAAAGAGGCCTGAGTTCCCGACTCTCAATTCCGAGTTGAATGACCGTTCAAAACGTATTTTCCTAGTCTGAGCTTGTTTTTTTCCAACTTGTGTAATGTTTATGTCCAATGGCCGATGAGCACCGATACGTTTTAAATATAATTTATCTTCATATGACAAGGATTGAAAAGGATTTGCCAGTAGATTGTGGACTTGATTCATGATGATGACTGCTAGCTAACATTTTGAAAGTATGATGTTGACATGATCAGTGCAATCAAAGCTACTGTAGATATAATGTGATTCTGAGGTCATTTTATCTGTGGCCAATGACCTTGAGCCTTCTTGGATGGGCACTTCTAATGTAACACTATGGCAGCACCCAAGGGGCTTGCATTTTCGAGCTCTAACCGTAGATTTTGCGGTGACGTAGTTTCCCCATGAGTGACCGAACACTGAGCCACTGAGCCGGCTTTATTAACCTATACGGGATCGGTGTCCCGTATACGGGACGGTTGAGCTAACGTGCGCTAATGGAATTAGCATGACTGTTGTAAGTAACAGCAAACTTTCCAGGACCTAGACATGTCTTATATGGGCAGAAAGCTTAAATACTTGTTAATCTAACTGCACTGTCCAATTTACAGTAGCTATTACAGTGAAAAAATACCATGCTATTGTTTGAGGAGAGTGCACAACAACAAAAAACGTATCACGACAACTGGTTTGATACATTCACCTCTGAAGGTAAATAATGTACTTACATTCGGTCATCTTGCTCTGATTTGTCATCCTAAGGGTCCCAGAGATAAAATGTAGCGTAGTTTTGTTTGATAAAATACATTTTTTATATTCAAATGTAGGAACTGGGTTTTACAGTTTTAACCCCTGCTGTCTCTGACTCCACACCCACCCCGCCTGGCCATCTAGATGTGTATAAGCTAATGATCCATCATGCATGACATTCCTGGGAGTGTGTAAACTTACATTTTGTATTACCATATCAGTTTCGTATGTTCTCTATAGTTATGTACTTGAAAATGTATCAATTGACCAATTCGGCACATTTGGACAGACTTGATACAAAATAGTCCAGTATTGCAACGCTTCACTGAATCAATCTAAAACTTTGCGCACACACTGCCATGTAGTGGCCAAAATCTAATTTGCGCCTAAACTGCAATATTATGGCCTTTCTCTTGCATTTCAAAGATGATGGAACAAAAAAAAGAAAATAATACAAATGTTTTTTTGTTTGTATTATCTTTTACCAGATGTAATGAGTTATGTTCTCCTACATTTAATTTCACATTTCCACAAACTTCAAAGTGTTTCCTTTCAAATGGTATCAATAATATGCATATCTTTGCTTCAGGTCCTGAGCTACAGGCAGTTAGATTTGGGTATGTCAATTTAGGCGGAAATTGAAAAAAAGGGTCAGATACTTAAAAGGTTCAACTGTTTGCGAACTGATATGTGACACATTCTTTTATTTTTGAGCTAAACAGGTGGGGCTCAAAAGCCCTGAATGACGGGTCTCCACTGTCTCACCCAATTAAGTATCAAAATATAAACAATTCCCTATTACTAGGGTATTCAAAATGAAATTCAAATTCACTAATTGTAGGCTAACTGTAAGCCGCCATGCACAATCAATGAACCAACAGCTTCGCCTAGGGCTATACGTTCTCTCCCAGACTCATGGATAGACATTTTGGAGCATAAGGTAACCAGTCCATCCAGTATGCATAATAATACTGTCCACACTCAAAGGCTAGAACAATTATGTACCAAAGACATCTTAGATCAGTTTTGTTGTATGTTTTTCTGCAATGGGTAATATGCGGTAGGCTATGTATTGTATAACGGCACAATCATCATTTTAATTCTGTTTTTTTTTTTCGGGCTTGGGCTCATAAACCTTTGCATATGCATAAGCTCTAATATGCATATGTGGTTTTTGAATAAATCCTCACATTAGAAAGCACTGTCCATTTCATTGTGTTAGGCATTGAAACAACATCCACAACAACCATGTTTTACACTGTTTCAACCTGCTGTTGAACTTTTGTTTCAAATTGATTACAGTGAGGTGAGTTTTAAAAGTATGATAGGCCTACTGTTTTGATGATAAGTGTTTGATGTGATTTTTGGTAGCATTTGCTTTGACGTTAGAGTGGTTAGAGGGACAATAGAGCCCTGAGTACCAGGCCATTAGGACCTGATAGTAGTTAGCAAGTTGGGTACTACCAAAGCATGTCCAGAGTGCATTAAAGGAGATTACCGTGACTGAACTGTCACGTGGAATTTGACATGTTCTAGAAACGCTCTTGCAACATGAGGTGAATGTTTTATGAAAACCGCACGACTGGACAGTTTTTGTGTTATGAGAACATTTGCCGCGACCTAACGAATGTTCTGAAAAAAAAAAAGTCGCTCTGGACTAAAATGTAAAAAAATGTTCTGGGAACTTTCACAGAACCAATTTTGGTTTGCTGGGCTATCTTCTCTAAATCCTCCTTTCTTTATTTTTTTCCCCCAGCCCTTCTTTACGCCACCATCTTCGGTAACGTCACCACCATCTTCCAGCAAATGTACGCCAACACCAACCGTTACCACGAGATGCTGAACAGCGTCCGTGACTTCCTCAAGCTCTACCAGGTGCCCAAGGGGCTGAGCGAGAGGGTCATGGATTACATCGCCTCCACCTGGTCCATGTCCCGGGGCATAGATACTGAAAAGGTATCTCAAACTGTAAGCCTGACATTCATTACCTTGGCTTGCATGCTGTCCGTTGGTTGGTTTTCCTGCATGGTAGCTTCCGCAGCTAGCTGGTCCTTTTGTATTGTGGTGTGGTGGTCATCGTGGCTCTGTGTTTTGATGTGCTTGACCAGTCCACTTGGGGTGGGAGTGTGGGGGAGGGGGTTGGTGTTGAGTTAATGGATAATGCTCTGTAACTGTCATATTAACTGATTATTATAATTGGTAATGACAGTTGGTGTTAGCTTATGACAAGTGACTTTACCCTGTTATGACACAAACTTTGGCTGATTTGCAAGCTGGTGGTAGTTAGAACGTGTGCAATGTGAGATTTGATTCCAATTAATTAAATGCCTGAATGTGACATGGTTTTAAAACAATTATGAGCATAGTATACAGAAAAAACAGTGAGGAAAGTCGATGTAAGAAATGTGTCTAATTAGTGAAATATTTAGTAAAAGCAATACAATGTGTTGTCCTTTTGCGGCTGTCTGATAGCTATGGTGAGTATATGCAGTTCAGTACAGTTTTTTGGCACATTCCTGTGCTGTATGCTTTGGAATTGCCTCAGTGACAGTAGAAAGCAACACTATGTTAGCTTCCAGGCACATTTCTCCCACAGCGCAGAGAGACTGGATGAGCGAAGGAGGGTAAAATCCTTTAAGGATTCTCTGGTATCACACATGGACTCACCTCAGCCTCCCAGGTGTTTAACTGTGGCTGTTGCTGTGACAACAACAGCATCCCAGCCAGACCTGTAGAGAGGAGGCTGGTTTGATTGGCAGTTCTGGGGGATTCTTTGTATGATCTGTTTACATTTTAGTCATTTAGCAGACGCTCTTATCCAGAGCGACTTAGTTAGTGAGTGCATACATTTTCATACTGGCCCCCCGTGGGAATCGACCCCCCCACAACCCTGGCGTTGGAAACCCCATGCTCTACACGGGGCACGTTCACATACTTAACTAACCGTAACCTATACAACTAACCTTAAGACACCGTTGGGGTTAGTCTATACACTTATACTTCCTGTTTTTTTTGACAGAAAAAGCTAATTTTACATCTACATTTTAGTCATTTAGCAGACGCTCTTATCCAGAGCGACTTACATTTAGCGAGTGCATATATTATTTTATTTTTCATACTGGCCCCCCGTGGGAATTGAACCCACAACCCTGGCGTTGCAAACGCCATGCTCTACCAACTGAGCTACATCCCTGCCGGCCATTCCCTCCCCTACCCTGGACGACGCAGGGCCAATTATGCGCCGCCCCATGGGTCTCCAGGTCGCGGCCGGCTACGACAGAGCCTGGATTCGAACCAGGATCTCCAGTGGCACCACTGCACCACTGCGCCACTCGGGAGGCCCCCATTTTAAAGAACAAGATTTTAACATTGATGTACTGTTCTATTTTCTATGCTCCCTAAGTGCTCCTCTAACTTGTACTTTTACCCAATGAGCACCATTACTGGATGATGATGATGATGATGGTGATTGTTGTTGATGCACTGCAAAATGTTTTATCTTAGCTAGATTTTTAAAATATTGTATTGAGTGATAATACACTTAATTGATCTTGATAAGAAAAAAATTCAAGTAATTTTATCTTACCGCACTGGCTTGATAGAAGTGGAGTAAGAATTTTAATAGGATGAATTATCTTACAAGTGGGTTTTTTATCTTACTCCACCTTGTATCAAGCCTTTTTTAGTTTAAAATAAGCCAAATGATCTGTCAATGTGGTAAAATCATTTATCTTGGTAAGAAAAAAAACGTGTCATTTTAAGTGCATTATCACTCAATATAAGATTAAAAATCTAGCTAAGATTGCATTCTGTTGCTATTATTATAAATATTAACAATCTGTTTTTGGTTGGGTGCCTTGATGTGACACCCTTAGAATATTTCAAGATAAAGATGGAAGGAAAATTCAGAAGGGGGAAAAAAAGAGAAGAGGATTTGAAAGTAATGTATCTAAACGCTATCATGGCTGCCAGTGAAAAACTACTGGTTCACCAAAGACAATGAGTTTGGAAGGTGATACAATTTGGCTATTAAACTGATCTCTCTCTCTCTCTCACCCCCTCTCTCTCTCTCTCCTCTCCCCGTCCCAGGTATTGCAGATATGCCCTAAGGACATGAGGGCAGATATCTGCGTCCACCTGAACAGGAAAGTCTTCAAAGAACACCCTGCGTTCAGGTTGGCCAGTGACGGGTGCCTGCGTGCCCTGGCCATGGAGTTCCAGACTATCCACTGTGCCCCTGGCGACCTCATCTACCATGCCGGGGAGAGTGTGGACAGCCTCTGTTTCGTGGTGTCAGGATCCCTGGAAGTCATCCAAGATGATGAGGTGGTGGCCATCTTGGGTGAGTAGTTGTCTATTATACAGTATGATGATGTAGGATTACATGGTGGCCATCTTGGGTGAGTAGTTGTCTATTATACAGTATGATGATGTAGGATTATATGGTGGCCATCTTGGGTGAGTAGTTGTCTATTATACAGTATGACGATGTAGGATTACATGGTGGCCATCTTGGGTGCGTTGCTGCTGTCTATTGTATAGGATGGTTTGTGGCCATTTTGAGTGAGTTGCTGTCCATGGACCAGTGTTTGAGTTGAGCCGGTGCACATCGGTACCGTCGTGGTCATCGGTACCTCGTGTGAAAGGAGCTATTGTCTAATCCCAACGACAGTCCCTGTAGAGACATTACCAGGATGTTAATGTGGGACTGGTGGGTGAAGGTTACACAGTTAAATGTTGAGTGGCTGTAAATCGCACCTTGTTATTGATCTGAGTGATGGATTCTTTGTCCTTTTCTCACATCATGGTTTGGTTGGTCTCCACGGTGTGTGTGCCGACGGATGTGCGTGAGTGCATATACAAACTGTTAGATTGTTGCTGGACAAACAGCCAACGTTGCCAGGCAAACACGCAACATAATTAAAAACGGTAAACAGTAAAAATGCAACACATCAAAACATCAAAACATACAGATGGATGGTCTTCCCAGGGCCTTCTAACATACAGTAGCTGTGGTTACTTTCTCTCGTGTTGCTGACCTGCAATTGGTGGGTTGGCTTGTTGGGAGGATTGAAATCCTATTTACATTGTTATACTTGTCCTTGTCCTGGCTAGTTCATGTTGATTGAACCCTGGGTGATGAACTAGCTACCGCTGTAAATCACATTCTCATTAAACTAATTGCAGTTGCTATACAGAATCCTTGCTACACCAGCTGCTGAATGTAGGGCTATTTAGCACTGTGATCATTCTATTAACTAATTAACTCTAGTTGTTTACCTAATTTTCTTGGTTTGTCAGAAACTGCAGAACATGAAAGCTTTTGTTTCTAAGGTTCAACCAAATCTGATCTTCTGCATTTTTGAAGGACTGTGCAGTTGATTCACATTACTCCAGCTGTGGAATACAGGTCTATGTAGAACAATGATAGTTTTACTAGAATTGACTCTAGCTGTGTTGCTGTTCCATTTTTGCCTCTCTATCACTGCCTTGGTTTGTTTTAGGGTGTAAGACATGAAAGCCTTGTTTATTTATTCAATCCAATCTGATTATGCTGACAAACCATCAAAACGATCCATTGTATCACAACTGATATGTCAGATTTGTTAGTTCCACAATTTGAGTGTGAATGTGTGAATTTACATTGTTTGGACTGACTATTGCCAACCCACGAACTATAAGTAAGTAAGGAGCCTTGGCTTGTGCGAGCCAGAACAGCTCATAGGAGCAGGAGTCTATCTCCTGTTTCTGTAGCGTGAGGCAGCTTGATGTACAAGTACACACCCTGGATAGGACACTAGTCTATCGCAGGGCCTTACCCCCAATCTATCTCCTTAATGTTGAGTGTCAAGCAGGGACACATCAGGTCCCATTTTTACAGTCTTTAGTATAACTCAGCCGGGAATCGAACTCCCAACCTTCCAATCTCAGGACACTGTAACCACAAGGCCACTGAGTTGGTTCAAACTACCATCATACTGTTTTGTATGGGGCCACACACCCACCCAGGTACGCTCTGTAATTCAATGTTGGCCGTGTATTTGGTGGATGTTGCCAGCTTTTCAACAATGTACCGTAAAGCTGAGGCAGATGTCAGCTTTAATTAGGAAGAGACTGATATAAACAGCTGGCCGTGTATTTGATGGATGTTGGCTGTGTATTTGATGGATGTTGGCTGTGTATTTGATGGATGTTGGCTGTGTATTTGATGGATGTTGGCCGTGTATTTGATGGATGTTGACCCGTGTATTTGATGGATGTTGGCTGTGTATTTGATGGATGTTGGCCGTGTATTTGATGGATGTTGGCCGTGTATTTGATGGATGTTGGCCGTGTATTTGATGGATGTTGGCCGTGTATTTGATGGATGTTGGCAGCTTTTCAACAACGTACCGTAAAGCTGCTTTATTGAGGAAACATTTACTTACTATGGCTGTTATATGTGGTTGTCCCACCTAGCTATCTTAAGATGAATGCACTAACTGTAAGTCTCTCTGGATAAGAGCGGCCGCTAAATGACTAAAATGTAAATGTCAGCTTTAATAGAAAGAGACTGATATAAACAGTTCTCATTTCTGGATGCATACACTGTGTGTGTGTGTGTGATTAGTAGTCTAGAGGAGTAGATCAACTGAAATCTAGCAGGTTGTTGCGCTGTGCTGTTCTGTTCTTTGTTCTGTTCTATCTTGTGCTGGGCTGTTCTGTTCTATCTTGTGTTGATCTGTGCTGAGCGGTGCTGTACTGTGCTGAGTGGTGCTGTACTGTGCTGAGTGGTGCTGTACTGTGCTGAGTGGTGCTGTACTGTGCTGAGCGTTACTGTTCTACGCTGAGCGTTACTGTTCTACGCTGAGCGTTACTGTTCTACGTTGTTACTTTGTGTTGAGTGCTAGTCAGAGCTTCTCTGGAGAATAGGAGATGATCCTGACTTTGTGTTTCTCAAACAACAAATAATTATCTCACCGTAGATTATCTGCTACGCCATAATGACTGTGTTTTTAAGTCAAATAACTTATTTGGGATTTCTTTGCAGTATGGTGATTAGCAAAGTGACTGATGGGAGAGATTTCCTGTTTATCTCATCCCAAATGAATATATAATATTTGTATGTGTTTGACTAGGAGAAGACGTGTGTGTGTGTGTGTGTGTGTGTGCGCCAGACCTAGGTTCAAATACATGTGTAATTGAGTATTTTGTTATTTAAATACTGTTTAATGTGTATTTGAGTGTTTCCAAATACATTCCAAAATTCAACTACTTGTTTTTTCAAATAAAGGTTATCTGAATATTGTTTTCAAATGTATTGAAAAGTAATTGAAATACCTGAAATACAATTTTACAGAATAACAAATAGGATCCTCTAGGAAGCCAGACACAATGATCAGAACAAATGTGTTTATAGTGTCTGTGTTTGTTTTGTCAATTCACTGAACATTGATATGATTCACATCAACAAGTTTTATATTTCAGCCAGTAAGGTTATTGGGTTCAAACAGGCTTTTGTTGCTGTGACTGACAGGGTTTGAACCAGCATTTTCTGCGTGCCATAACACTTTGCTATCCTGCTGAGCCAAAGCCTAGACATTAACTATGGGAGCAAACGCACGTCTTCACATCTCAGGCAAAGTCACACTGGGCTAAACAAATCATTGTTAGGTCTCAGAAGTAAATGGGTAAATAATCAGTTGTAAACCAGCCATTTTAGCTGTTTTCTCTCGCACTCTGCAGGTAAAAAAATATTTCAGAAATCTCTCTAAAGTCTTAAAAATAATAATTCATCAGTAAATCTCGGATGCAAAATCTGTTAGATTTAAGAAGTAATATCTTAGTCGGTTCTCTCTCTCTCTCTGTCTCTGTGTGTGTGTGTGTGTGTGTGTCTGCAGGTAAGGGGGACGTGTTTGGGGATGTGTTCTGGAAGGAGGTGACCCTAGCCCAGGCGTGTGCCAACGTGCGTGCCCTGACCTACTGTGACCTCCACGTCATCAAGCGGGACGCCCTGCAGAAGGTTCTGGAGTTCTACACAGCCTTCTCTAACCACTTCTCACGGAACCTGCTGCTCACCTACAACCTGCGGAAGAGGGTCAGTGTAACTTATTGGACCATCCACTTTTCTTCTGGCCTCGTAGAACCAGCCGAATAGCTGCTCACCAGGCTGGTTCATCTAAGTGTTCAGGCTGGTTCATCTAAGTGTTCAGGCTGGTTCATCTAAGTGTTCAGGCTGGTTCATCTAAGTGTTCAGGCTGGCTCTTCTAAGGATCAGGCTGGTTCATCTAAGGATCAGGCTGCCTCATCTAAGTGTTCAGGCTGGTTCATCTAAGGATCAGGCTGGTTCACAAGACCACTCTTCTTCCTCCCTGCCTATCAAACTCATATTATTTTCTCATTTCAGTTGTTGTTTTATCTTCCTTGTCTCCTCTGCCTATCTTTCACGTCTCAGTCTTTCTCTCTGTTCTCCCTCCTCTCTGTTCTCCCTCCTCTCTGTTCTCCCTCCTCTCTGTTCTCCCTCCTCTCTGTTCTCCCTTCTCTCTGTTCTCCCTTCACGTCATCCACCCAGGGCATCTAAGGCCAGGATTAAATCAGATCAGCGGTAACCCACGATAACCGACAAACACATAGCTTATCATTGCTTTTGTTTAGGAGGTGTCAGAGGTGTAAATGCATTAGTGGTCAAATCCACAAGCGGCTCCCAGCGTTATACCTATCGCGGACATTGCCATAGATGCATTAGTAGAAATCCCATGCAGCCATGTTACAAGTTTGAACACTGGAATGTGTGATTTATATAAATCCTTATTATTTTGTTTAAAGGGAACTTTCACCATTTTTATAATCTCCAGCACCACCTCAACATCAACGTATGTGAAAATGGCGCGTTTTTATGTTTTGTAGTAAAAAAGATAGAGGAAGATGAGTGTCCAATTACCTCATCGGTGTGCATCATGTGATTTTAACCAATTATGAGTTGGCATTGCCTACTAATTGGTTGATGTCATTGCAAACACTTATCTTCCTCTATCTTTTTTACTACAAAACATAGAAATGCGCCATTTTCACATATGTTGATGTTGGGGTGGTGCTGGACATGATGAATATGAAGTTTTTTTTTAAAGAATGTATTTCCCCTGAATGATTTCCCCAGTGTCATTATTTCTATATACAGTGAGGGGAAAAAAGTATTTGATCCCCTGCTGATTTTGTACGTTTGCCCACTGACAAAGAAATGATCAGTCTATAATTTTAATGGTAGGTTTATTTGAACAGTGAGAGACAGAATAACAACAAAAAAATCCATGTCAAAATGTTATAAATTGATTTGCATTTTAATGAAGGAAATAAGTATTTGACCCCCTCTCAATCAGAAAGATTTCTGTCTCCCAGGTGTCTTTTATACAGGTAACGAGCTGAGATTAGGAGCACACTCTTAAAGGGAGTACTCCTAATCTCAGCCTGTTACCTGTATAAAAGACACCTGTCTACAGAAGCAATCAATCAATCAGATTCCAAACTCTCCACCATGGCCAAGACCAAAGAACTCTCCAAGGATGTCAGGGACAAGATTGTAGACCTACACAAGGCTGGAATGGGCTACAAGACCATCGCCAAGCAGCTTGGTGAGAAGGTGACAACAGTTGGTGCGATTATTCGCAAATGGAAGAAACACAAAATAACTGTCAATCTCCCTCTGCCTGGGGCTCCATGCAAGATCTCACCTTGTGGAGTTGCAATGATCATGAGAACGGTGAGGAATCGGCCCAGAACTACACGGGAGGATCTTGTCAATGATCTCAAGGCAGCTGGGACCATAGTCACCAAGAAAACAATTGGTAACACACTACGCCGTGAAGAACTGAAATCCTGCAGCGCCCGCAAGGTCCCCCTGCTCAAGAAAGCACATATACAGGTCCGTCTGAAGTTTGCCAATGAACATCTGAATGAATAAGAGGAGAACTGGGTGAAAGTGTTGTGGTCAGATGAGAAAAAAAATGGAGCTCTTTGGCATCAACTCAACTCGCCGTGTTTGGAGGAGGAGGAATGCTGTCTATGACCTCAAGAACACCATACCCACCGTCAAACATGGAGGTGGAAACATTATGCTTTAGGGGTGTTTTTCTACTAAGGGGGACAGGACAACTTCACCGCATCAAAGGGAAGATTGACGGGGCAATGTACCGTCTAATCTTGGGTGAGAACCTCCTTCCCTCAGCCAGGGCATTGAAAACGGGTCGTGGATGGGTATTCCAGCATGACAATGACCCAAAACACACGGCCAAGGCAACAAAGGAGTGGCTCAAGAAGAAGCACATTAAGGTCCTGGAGTGGCCTAGCCAGTCTCCAGACCTTAATCCCATAGAAAATCTGTGGAGGGAGCTGAAGGTTCGAGTTGCCAAACGTCAGCCTCGAAACCTTAATGACTTGGAGAAGATCTGCAAAGAGGAGTGGGACAAAATCCCTCCTTAGATGTGTGCAAACCTGGTGGCCAACTACAAGAAACGTCTGACGTCTGTGATTGCCAACAAGGGTTTTGCCACCAAGTACTAAGTCATGTTTTGCAGAGGGGTCAAATACTACTTTCCCTCATTAAAATGCAAATCAATTTATTAAAAATTTTACATGCGTTTTTCTTGATTTTTTGGGTTGTTATTCTGTCTCTCACTGTTCAAATAAACCTACCATTAAAATTATAGACTGATCATTTCTTTGTCAGTGGGCAAACGTACAAAATCAGCAGGGGATCAAATACTTATTTCCCTCACTGTAGCACTTTCTAGTTCTGAACTTTAACGTGAGATTCAGTGCATTCGGAAAGTATTCAGACCGCTTGACCTTTTCCACATTTTGTTAAGTTACAGCCTAATTCTGAAATGGATTTAATTGTTTTTTCCCCCCTTATCAATCTACACACAATACCCCATAATGACAAAGCAAAAACAGGTTTTTAGAAATGTTTGCAAATGTATGAAATATAACATTTACATAAGTATTCAGACCCTTTACTCAGTACTTTGTTGAAGCACCTTTGGCAGCGATTACAGCCTTGAGTCTTCTTGGGTATGACACTACCAGCTTGGCAGAGCCGTATTTGGGGAGTTTCTCCCATTCTTCTCTGCAGATCCTCTTAAGCTCTGTCAGGTTGGATGGGGTGTGTCACTGCACAGCTATTTTCAGGTCTCTCCAGAGATTTTAGATCGGGTTCAAGTCCGAGCTCTGGCTGGGCCACTCAAGGACATTCAGAGACTTGTCCCGAAGCCACTCCTGCGTTGTCTTGGCTGTGTGCTCAGGGTCGTTGTCCTGTTGGAATGTGAACCTTCACCCCAGTCTGAAGTCCTGAGCGCTCTGGAGCAGGTTTTCATCAAGGATCTCTCTGTACTTTGCTCTGTTCATCTTTCCCTCGATCCTGACTAGTTTCCCTGCCACTGAAAAACATCCCCACAGCATGTTGCTGCCACTACCATGCTTCACCGTAGGGATGGTGCCAGGTTTCCTCCAGACGTAACACTAGGCATTCAGGCCAAAGAGTTCAATCTTGGTTTCTCATGGTCTGAGATTCCTTTAGGTGCCTTTTGGCAAACTCCAAGCGGGCTGTCATGTGCCTTTTACTGAGGAGTGGCTTCTGTCTGGCCACTCTACCATAAAGGCCTGATTGGTGGAGTGCTGCGGCCAGCTCTAGGAAGAGTCTTGGTGGCTCCAAACTTCTTCCATTTAAGAATGATGGAGGCCACTGTGTTCTTGTCGACCTTCAATGCTGCAAAAATGTTTTGGTACCCTTCCCCAGATCTGTCCCTCGACAATCCTGTCGAAGTTTGGAGTGTGACTGTTTGAGGTTGTGGACAGGTGTCTTTTTATACTGATAACAAGTTCAAACAGGTGCCATTAATACAGGTAACGAGTGGAGGACAGAGGAGCCTCTTAAAGAAGAAGTTACAGGTCTGTGAGAGCCAGAAATCTTGCTTGTTTGTAGGTGACCAAATACTGATTTTCCACCATAATTTGCAAATAAATTCATTAAAAATCCTACAATGTGATTTTCTGGATTTTTTTCCTCATTTTGTCTGTCATAGATGACATGTACCTATGATGAAAATTACAGGCCTCTCTCATCTTTTTAAGTGGGAGAACTTGCACAATTGGTGGCTGACTAAATACTTTTTTCCCCCACTGTACCACAGGTGGACTCCAAGTTGTAGAAACATCTCAGAATGCACCTGAGCTCAATTTCGAGTCTCATAGCAAAGGGTCTGAATACTTTTGTAAATAAGGTATTTCAGTTTTTTTCTAATATCTAAAAACCTGTTTTCGCTTTGTCATTATGTGGTATTGTGTGTAGATTGATGAGGAAAACATTTAATTTAATCCATTTTAGAATAAGGCTGTAACGTAACAAAATGTGGAAAAAGTCAAAGGGTCTGAATACTTTCCGAATGTACTGTATAAGGATATGTGTGGTTTCGTGGACCACTTGGTGTCTTTCCTATATATAACTCTTATTTTTATTTTATTTAGAATTTAATGTAATATCTTATGATGTTCTTGTCTATAACTTGTACTTTGTCAAGTATTTGTACGTTTTATGTGGAACCCAGGAAGAGTAACTTCTGCATGTGCAGTAGCTAATGGGGATCCTAATAAATGAAACCATAAGAGCAGCCGCCCTTTGATTTAACAGCTCCAACGTAGTTACACCGTAGACAACTAAACAAATGCAATGATATGCTATGCATTTTTCGGCTAACCCGAGTAACCGCTGATCTAATGAATCCTTGCCTAAGCTTCTGATCTGATCAATATCATCTCATTGTAACAATCAAAGAAAAGTCAATAGCAGATTACAACCTGGCATTTTGAAGTCCATATCACTTTTATATTAGCAGTATCAGCATAACATTTTCAGTTATAGACTACCGATCACCTTCTAGATTTTTAAATGGAATTAATTAATCATTAAGGGGTGATTCTGAGATCTTAGATGTTAGATTGTATGATAGTGGATCAGATGAGATGAAATGTACAAAGCTTACTTATGACGGTATTGTGACAGGACGTACCAGGGCTGCGGCAGAGGTGTGTGTGTGTGTGTGTCTG